ACAAAAATGCACCTGCACCTTTCTCCTGTTCCTTACCACGTGCACACACATGAGCATCCACATGGAGGAGGACATCCAAAGCATGAAAAAACAAGCCCAGTGCATCTCTGTTCTCCACAACAGAAATCCACTTTGTTCTCTCCACTGAAACTCCACTGGAAGAGCTACAGAACAGGCTGATGAATGTGCAGTGCCTGCTTTACCAATCAGTGCCCTGAGCAGAGGAAGGCAGCAGGCAATTTTCCGAAGGAGAATATAGTTCCCATACTATCGTAATCCTGTGTCCAAGGTCAAACACAGAAGTGTTTGGTGCTCCTCTGTGGCTGCGCTCCTCAGGACGCAACATTTCTAACACTTCACCTAGAAAATGCTGCGCTCGAGCAAACAATTATAAAAGCTTTCAGGCTCTGCTACACTTCAGATTCTTCATCGATGCGTCAATAAAATCTTTCCCTTTCTTGTGCCATCTACAGCTGTAAACAGAAATCCGCATATTAATACAGTGATATTTCCTCTGCACATAAATCATAAGTAATGTAACAACTTTTCTGTTTGCACAGCTTTTAATCCAGTTACAGATCCGTGTAACGAGCGTGTTTTCTATTCAATGAAGCCCATTGTTATTCTAAATACATACTTCTAATAACAGATGTTTTATATATATATAAATATATATATATATATATATATGCATTTTCCTTTGGGCTGAAAAATCTAAGTTTCAGGTTCCGTGCACCTCAAATTTCCATAACTATGGGGTAAGAAAGTATGCTAGTGTCTTTCAAGTTAGACATCTGTTTAGAATGTTTTGTGGCTGCACCAAGTCTTAAATCAATTTGGTTATAAAAACAAATATTTTTTACAGTATTAAAATAAAAGAATGGGGATGACTTACTGCTTGTTTTTAGCAACTGACTTGTCTGAGGGAAGATGGACCATATGGAGGGAACTGACTTGAAAATTCAGTGACATGATGCAGTTACTTATTGATTTTTATAGACAATAATGACCTGTAAGAGCTCTGCTCTGCCGTTTCCCTGTTGCTTTAGCCCCCTCTGTTAATACTTAAGGAAATCAACCCCGTTTAGCTGTTTGCATGATTTCTAATGAGAAATGAGTAATACAACAAATCATAATTGGTATCTTATAATGTTCTGTTTAAATAGATCCTTATAATTTTCCTTCTACTTACTTAAGTTGGGAAAATACAGTTAAGATTTCAATTTCTAAACACCCTTTTTTTCCTTTTTTTTTTTTTTTTTTTTCTCCAGTCTCTCTGTGAATATGATAAACACTTCTTTTTTGCATTTTGCCACAATTCGCAAGATCGTATTTAATTCTAGGTAAGAAAGGTCTGGGGAATTGCTGGAAACAGAACTGAAACAAACACACAGAGGCGTGCAAGAAGCATCACAGAGGCTGGGAAAAAAATACCTTGCTATAAGTCCTCGCTCTTCTTCTAAGCTTTTTGACAAAAGTGACTGAGGTTCGGCACTGAGGTCGCTGCCACTTCCAGGGTGCTGTTGCCCGAGACGGTGCCTCTTGCTTTGCCTGGCCCCTGGGCTGCAGAGGCAGCTGCCGACCCGGTGTCTCATGCAGCAAGGCAGCAAGCAGCACTCCCCGCATGTGGGCAGCAGCAGTGCGGCAGCCTCAGTTCCTCTACCCCTTTCTGCAGCCTTCAGAAGCCTTCACCCAAAAAACTTCAGCACGGCAGCCCTACGCACCTACAGCCCCCTGAGGAGCAGGAAGAGGAAAACGACAGCAAAAGCGGCTCAGGTGATAAAATTTCTGTTGTTGTGCAAGGCACTGGGGTGAAGTTACCAGAAGCAACCTTTATAAGTATGCAGGTGTAGAGACTATCTCATAGCTATTAAGCACATCCTGAAAACTAAAAGACAAATAAACAATTCAAGATACTATTGTGATCTGCGATCTGACTTCTGCATTTCTTATGGACAGCTGATTAAAACAGAGACTAAACATGGACTGAGGACTGCTTGCAGTTTAAGAAGAAAGTCATCCAAATATCATACTGCTTTTTTCCTTTTTAACAAATCAAATGGGATAGTTCTGAAAAGCTCTGTTAAAAAGAAAAGAAGGTAATTTGAAATCTCAAGATCTGACAATCTGGAGACCTACTATATTTCAATCACTTTGTACTTCAAGAGTTTATAAAAGCAGTATGGAAAGAATAAGAAGCAACCAGTGTGGCTTCGTGAGGAAATGCTTGTGTTTATGAGAATATTAAGAATGTCTGTCTCCTTTTTCCAATAGTGTGTGTCATTTAAAGCATCAAGAAGAAAATTATATTGGCTTCCAGCTCCCTGTTAGTCTCCCGCACAAGATCACCTCCCTTCCCGGTAGTCTAAAAATAATGGGAAATACTAAAAAAATGAGAGAAAGGATAGCGTTCAGAAGCAAATTACATTTGAAAAGCAATAATGCTAGAGATAAAATGAATGTTCTGAGTGTGTAGGAGCTTGAAATAATGATGTCCGTAAGAAAGCAGATTAAGACTGAGATCTATAATTATTTTCCAGAAGTGAAGTGAGGCTGTGTGAGGAATTGGCAGCATATGGTCCTGAAAACGAAGGTGTGGAGTCGAGGCTGAGCACTTTGAATGAACACACCTGTGATTTCCACCTAGGGACTATGAGGGGAGATATCTTTCAAAGTTCTGCTTTGAACTGATCTGTGTGCACACGTGGGCACAGATCTGCTGCGAGGACGCAGGGTCTGAAAGCCGCCCATGGGCACTCTGCAGACCGAGTGTCCGTGGCCACAGGATGCAGCTCAGACTGCTCAGCCCTCTGGCCTCAGCAGCCACCACAGTTTCTGTGTCTTTCCCCGTACCTTTGTACGCAGGAATTTACAGAGAAACGCACCGATATTATAAAATCGGTGCCTCCTGATAACCGTGGTCTCAGCCCTGCGAAATGCTGAGCTCCACTTCCAGTCCTGCAAAGCGTCTCGAGGCACACCGAAACTTGAATAACTGTGCCCGTGGTTCAATGCTTTGGCAGCCCAGGTCCAGATCCCTGCTCGTCCCCTGCAGGAGGGAGTGGAGGAGGCGTGAGGAGGGTGCTGACCCTCTGCATCTACGGTGAGTGGTGGAACTTGCTGCTCCATTTACAGCTCCACTTTAAAAATAGATACCGGGCAAGTAAGCAATTAAAATTCAAGAAGGAAAGCAGAACTATCTGGCAGTTGTTCAGTAAGCCTAACTTGTATAAAAAGGATCTGCACAGAGCTGGTATAAGTATAAACAGTCAGCGGCAAGAGATTATGAAAAACAATTCTTGCCTGGCAAATGCAATTACTTTTAACAAAATTTAGAAATCAGGGAGCGAAGGGAGCACGGTAGGAGTATTCTCTCTGCAGGCTGGGTCATCCATCTGTGAAAACAGCTCCTGTAAAACATCCGAAACGTCGCCTTCGGACGTATCGATGCAGACAGGTGCGAGGGGGTCCGGTTTCCAGCTGGGTGTGCGCTAGCTCGGCACCGCTCCCAACCCAATGAACCTGCTATGGTGACACCACTCCAAAATCAGAGCCGGTTTCTGCCCGGCCGAAGAGCTCAGACGTGTCTTCGTGTGGCTTCACGTGCCCGCTAACGCGCTGCCTCCCACCTCCGGGGCTCTCCTCGGGCGCTGGCGGCGAGGAGCTGCGAACAATAGTTGCCACATGACGGCGTCCCCATCATCCAGCGCGCTCTGGGTCCCACCCCCAGCCCGCTCCTCTTCTGGGTAAATCATTCAGTGTCGATGGCCTGGCAGCCGAAGCACCATTGTTCCATCTAGTGGAGAGCTATTCAGTGATGATGGCCTTTGATTTCTCTTTCCAAACATAGGCCCAGCCTCTGCCAGATAGGATTTTGCTGGTAGGCTTCTGCTGGCAAATCGTCCTAACATAAGCACGGCCTGCGGTCCCCAAAGATTTATGGTGGCCTGAATTGGTATAACTTCCATCAATTCTGTGAATATAATAAGTGCAGACAATACCAAAGCCTCTCAGAAAATGCCTGATATAAAATAGATACACTAATTTACTGTGAAGGTTACAATCATAAATAGCAGTCAGAAGAAAAGTAAATAATGGAATTCATAGTTTGGCACAGACGCCTTGCCAATGTGTCACATCCTGACGGATTGGGGATATGTCTGTGTCAAGCCATGAATTCCGTCTTTGCTTTTTGAATGCCGTTTACAATTGCAACTGTCCATGTGGATTATTGCATCTATTTTTATTGCCAAGGCTCTGTCTGGGAAGATGTAACAGAGCAATCAACAACACTGACTGGTTCTATTTTGCTGGAACAATAGTTTTCCTGCGAGCCGAGCCGCTCCATCTCCATACACAAGACGGGAGGGTTGGGGTCCGGGCTTCCCCTCGTCTGGAAGAGCTTGGGTGACAGAGGGACGGAGACGTTGTATGGGGAGACACCTGCCAAAGCCAGGTCTCCTGGATAAAAGGCGGGCAGAGCGGGCAAGCCAAAGACTCAGCGTTGGCCACCAGGTCAGGCAGTGGGGTGTAAAGCAAGGAGTGACCCCGAGAAGCAACGGTGTAGATGTATGCAGTGCTGGGGAGCCACCACGTTGTGTAAGTGGTGAAGGCAGGGCTCTGCTGGCCGAAGGGCCGTGTCCGTCAGGGTGTCTGCCCCCCTGGTCAGTAACGGGGTGAGGAGCAGCAGTGGGTTTTGGAAAGGGCTCTGTGATTGTGGTTCTCCACGGTGTCCCACCACGGAGAGCCCCGCTCCCCTCCCAGCCACCCCACGCCACCCCACTGACTCTGGCTGCCCGACCGGGACCGGGGGGCTCTCCCAGCCCAAACCAGCAACCTGTGGGTGAGCCCAGCGGGTGAACATCCCCTGCCGGGGCCGGCAAACACCGTGCGGGGCGAGCAGCCCCGGGAGGGAAAGGCCGAGAGAGGCCCCGGCGGGCGGGGAGCAGGGCGTGGGGACGGGGCAGGGCAGCGGCCGGGGGGGGGCAGCTCCGGGCAGGCGGGGAAAGAGGCGCTGCCTTTTTTTTTTTTTTTCATTTATTTATTATTTATTTATGTATTTATTTATTTATTTCTCCTTTTTTTTCCCCCCTTACCGCCTTCTCGGGGCTGCCCTCCCGGTCCGGCGGGCAGGTGTAGCGACCCGGACCCGGTAGGCAGCGGGGCTCTTCCCAAAGCGGGGAGGGGGGGGCGAGAGCAAGGAGAAGAGAAGGAGGCGAAGGAAACAACAGCAGCACCACCAGCAGCAGCAGGAACAGCAGCCCGGAGCCCGGAGCCCCCTTTCCCCATCCCGGCCGCGGTCCCCCCGGCATCCCGCATCCCGCCGCCCGCCCTCCGGTGCCGCCGCAGCGCCCTCTGCTGCCGTCGGGCCGTGCCGGCGGCGGGCCGGGGATCGCGTGCGAGAGCGGGGACCCGGCGGGCGGCCGCCTTCGCTCAGCCTTCCCCCAGATCGCCACCTGGAGCGCCGAGGGGAGCGGAGGACCGAGCATCCTTCCCCGCCGCCGCCGCCGCCGCCACCCTCTCCGGCCCCGCCGCCCCTCGCCCCGCCGCCGCCGCAGCCGCCGCCGCCCGGAGAAAACTTGGCGTGCTGGCGGGCACCGTGGGGTAAGTCAGCCGCCCGGCACGGACGGCTCCCGGGGGATGGGGACGACGAGGAAGCCCTCCCCGAGGGGCTCCGTGGGGTGCCGGGGGTCTCTCACCCTGCCCCGGTGCCGCCGCTGCCTCCCCCGTGCGCCCGCCGAGCCCCGCGGCTCCCGCACCGACGCCCCCCCGGGGTGCCGGGTGATGCCCTCGGAGAGCCCGGAGCCGAAAAAAGAGGCAGCGAAAGGCTCCGCCGAGGCACCTCCGCCGGCATCCCTTCCCCGGCTGCCTCCGGAGGGCTCCGGGGGAGAAGAGGGCGAGGGGAAGCTCCCCTCAAGCGGCCTCATCCAGCCCCGGCTGCGCTCACCTGGCACACGGGGAGCACGGCGCGGGGAGAAACCCCCCAAAATTTGGGGGTGGTTTCGGCGCTGTGCAGCCCGAGAGCGCCGAGTTCTTTTCGTGTTTCAGTTTGACACGCGAAAACCGGGGGGGAGAATCGGCGAGGGAAGGGCTCCGGTGCTTTTTCTGACTTGGGGTTACTTGGGTTAGTAAACAAGAGTTTTGTGCGTCTTGGGGTGAAGCTGTGCCTCTACGCGTTCGCTGGATTAAAACAGAGAGAGCGTAAAACCAAGTTATATCTCATAGAAAGAACTTTTTCTTTCTTAAGACGGGCGCAAACAATGTTCGTGCGTCATTTAGTGAGTTTCTAGGAGATGGACTAAAAACCAAAAAAAAAAAAAAAGAGAGAGAGACAACAGAAAAACCCAAGAAAATGCTTGACGCTGTTTGGTAGTTGGAGGCTTGAAAAAGACAACCGGGACCGGGTTTAAATAAAACCGAACGGTCTGTTTGGGCTCAGAAGTAGTCTGTTGAGAAGGGTGTTGATGCACATATGTTTGCACTAGATAAAATAAAACAGTTCTCTTTTATGGAGCGTAGAAGATTGTTACTATCCTGGGCTAAGACTTAAATCGTGGCACTTAAGCAAAGGGACTTCATGACCGACAAGATCAAATTCACGATCGAGACACTCAGTTAATTTGCAACCAAGGGCATGAATTTATTTCCTTGAAAAATAAAGCAGCGAGTAACGTGGATGTTAAGGAGCAGAGTTGCTGGTTAAGGCTCTGGTAGGGACTTTCACGCTGTTGCTCCAGCCGGCACCCTGGCCGAACACCGGCTGAGACAGTCCTCGCTCCTCGCCGTCGCGTCTACTGCGTGCCGGTGTGTTTGTGGTGGCGTCGTGTTTTCGGTAGCTGACTGTCGGAGCATATTTGGGTGTTCTCTAGGCTGGAAGAGAGGACTGGGTTTCTGGAAGCCGTATCGGGACAGCATGCAAACACCTACGCTCCCCAGCCTGAGCAGGAACGCTCGTACGTGGAGAACGCGCGCTGCTGTGGTTTCGGTGGTTTTTGTCCAAATGAGCCACGGGGAGGGGGAGGTTTGTCGTTACCCCCGGCTTCCCATCGATTCAGATTTCTGCCCAGGAGTCGTAATGAGGAAATGCATTGCTAGGCCATGTTTGCAGTGGGGATGCTTACAAAAACCAGCCAGCCGGTCTAATATTGATTCATCAGTTTCAGCGTATAAACAGATTTGAACTCTACCGTGGAGGATTTAGTAGTCAGAAATGATTTTTCCGTTCGGTTTGCCTTTCCGTAGGTGTATCAGAAAATATGGCAGAGGCAGTTTCGGCATCAGCATCTGCCTGTACGGCGTTGAACTGGACTAAGGACTCGGTAGAGCTTTTTCTGTAGTGCTTTTAAGGGGTTTGGTTTAACCCGAGACCCCACGAAACGTGGGGGCTCCACTGTTGAATAACCAAAGTCCGGTGCCAAATCTTTCCTTAATATTCCTGGTAATTAGTGCTGATTCATGCTGACATGTGAGTTCAATTAGCCCCAAATGGAATGTAAAGGATGTGGGAGTGTCCCTTTGTGCCCAGAGACAGCTAGGACAAAGCAGATTTTGGAGGAAAATTTAAGGAATAGCCAAGTTTGGGTAGGAAGTGTCAGCCAAGGTTTTTTTACAGTAATGTTTGAATAACCAATAAAGTTGAGTCCCTGGAAGGGGATGAATTTGGATAACACGGGGTTGTCTTCACTATGGAATAACTGGAGTCCCAGCTCAGACATTGCTTCTAATTTGACTCATGTCCACACACAAAAACCTGTTGCTGAAGAGTGGTGATGTTTTCAATTTGAGTCGGCTTACCCATGAGGAATAAGCTATAGCTCAGATAACCACAATTCATCAACTGCTAACACAATCTGCGTGAGCAGCACGAGCGCGATTCTGCTCAACGCTGGCTGCTGACTCTTTGATGGGGCTACCTGAGCGGCCAGGACCTCCCGGCTGCTTCCCTCTGAGGTTCAGAGAGGAGACCTCGTTGGTTTGGTGTGCTGGCCATGAGGTGAGCGACTCGACGTTCATCACTTTTAATATTCCCACACGATTACTGTGTTGCTACTGTATTTGTGAGAGCTTGCTGATGGTCTTCACCATCCTCATGACACGGCTACGGCAGGCAGTAAAGGAAGAATTCGCAGCGCTTGCTGACGCTCAGGATGGGGCAGCTCTGCAGGCAGACACAAAAAGCAAAAATTGTCCTCGCCCCAGAAATTCATTTCCTGTCAGTTATCAGCTGGTACGGTGGTTTGAAAAGGTCAGCTGTATGTCAGAGGTATACGCCGATATGTATACAGAAATAAATCCAGCCGTACTCGGCTAGCAGAAGGAAGAGCTGCTGCTTTTGGAGAAATAGTTTCTTTGTTGGCTCTTTATGCAAATCGCTTCCAGGAAACGCAGGCAAGGATTTCTGCAAATTTCTTGAGGTCAGTGCAGAAAAGATGGACATGAGAGCAACTATGCAGACTTGCGTGTACCAAGTGGCTACTCTTCTAGAAGGTAACCCTGATGCAGACTTCTGTCTCTGTATGAAGAATGAAAATTTCATTATTTTTTTTTTTATATTATTATATATATATATATTTTTATTTTTTTTTGCAAAGAGTTCGACGGAGTTAGGGACCAGCTGAACATCCTGAGCCAGGCATGCTTCAGGAGCATGTTTGCCTTGCTCTGTTCCTCCAGAAATCCCCCCAAGCTGTTGACAGTCACTTTGGATTTTGTTCAGCTTGTCTTCATAGTCATGATTGTTGAGTTGTCTACAGCAGCTGATGCTGCGTTCTGCTGTTATCAATGCAAGAAACATGACATGAGTAACCGCAGAATTTGAGAGGACAGACTTACAGGGCTGTGCAGGAGGGATGGACAAAATGCAGGTGCTGCCAACGTGATGCCAGCTAAACACACCACAAATACTCATGAACCCCTGAGGTCCCTGGTGCCAGTGTGTGATACACCCATTTCAGCATAGGCAACGTAGGGTCTCTTGACTCAAGTACAATCCTCAGGTACACAGCCATGCAGCTACAATAGCAAGAAGCCCAGGGTACCTCTTTTACTTTTATTTTTGAAACCTTATTCTGGACCTTATCCTTCCTCCCCGGTAGGTGCCTTCTGGTAGGAAGGAGCAGGGCAAGTGCAGGATGGTGGTGCAAAATTCGGCCGGGCGGCGGTGCTTAGCAGCGTGTAGGCAGCAGAACAGCTTGACTTACTTTGTATAAGAGTGAGGCTTTCAGCATGAACCCAGGTACTTGTCAGATGGCGAGATTGCTTTGGGCTGGACCAGATTTTCTACAGTTTGGAATTGAGGCTGCATTTGCAGGCAGCAAATAAGTCACTTCTATGATGCAGGCTATTACATCTGAGGCTGCAAAACACATTATTTGCAAGCATGTGTTTCTACTGTCCTGTGGCTGCAGGGGAGCCAGGTGCACCAGAGGTATTGCTCTGCATTCAACAGAAATACCTGTGCATGCGTTAAAGACATGAAATATTTATTCTTTAAACTTTATTTGTATTTCTGCTCGATGGTGGTCATTTCAGTGGGTTTAACTCGCTGAAAATGTGTGCTAACTTAAAATCAAATTTTGTCACTCATTAGGACTGTAAAAACCCACTGTTAGCAGAATTCTTCCTCTTTCGTAACTTTGGATCTGAGATGGAGTGAAGTTGAACACGTGGCAGTTTTGGGGTCATTGTCTTGCTTTCTCAGGAGCAGTTTGCTGCGTTTTGTAGTATACCGATCCCTAGGAGTCACGATCCCAAGGAGTCTCTCAAACTGTTTCCTTTGCTGAAACTCCAAATATCGTGCTCTCACCCCATAGCCATGGCAGCACTTTTTGGAAAGCGGGCTATTCTTGGCTTCATTGTCTTTCACAAGGATTTTTTCCTCCAACATGTGTTTTTCTGATGTCTGAGAATTCCTAGTGCACTTGTCAGTATGAGTCTTCATCTCTCCGTCGTTCTCAAATGAGGAATCTTTTCACAGGCATGATATTTTCTTCTTGTTTCAGCCCATTTATTTTGTTCTGTGGTTGAAGAGATCCCAGTGATTTAGGGTGAGACCAAAGGGACTGAGAAGCAAATCACTGGGGTTGGGATTCCACAGGGATTTGCTTGAAGTTCAAAGCTCTTCCCAGTCATTGGTGGCTCATGTGATGGGCAGAGCATGTGGACACTCAGCCTACAGATGTCGCCATGCTGAAAAAAGGTTTTGGGCGTTTTAAAAGACACGGGTCAGATGTGGAGTGATTTTGGCTGAGTAACAACCTCCAGAAAACCAAGCAGGTTGCAGGGCTGTGAAATCAGGAATAATCTTTTACTCAAATATGGAATGGAGAATGGCTGACTAGGCAACACATGCTAAGGAGAAAAGAATGTGGAAAATTGGTGGATCACTAGCTGAGCATGAGTCAGTAGCATCACACTGTGGTGAAAATGCTGGACGGAACAATGGGATGTGAAAACAGGAGCGTTGGTTGTAAGATACATGAAAAACCTCAGCCCAGGTAGGACTTTCAATGGAGTATGACGTTAATTTGGGTGCATGGTACTTGCAGAAAGATGCAGACCAAATTAAGAGTCCAGAGGAAAGCAACAAGAATGATAGATAATTA